GCTTTGGCTTTGAGATTCTGTAATGAATATATCAATATATTACCTTCATACTTTTAAGACTTTATCTCTTTTGTGAGAGACAAAAAAGGGAAATTTTGAAAAAGAATTAGAAGAAGCTATTTTGAAAAAACATTTCAGAGAAAATTTGAGAAAGTTTGAGGGATTGACAAAATGGAGACATTAAGAGAAAAACACCAAAAGAAATACAGGAATACTAAGAATCAAGGAGAGTATGTGTATGACAGAGAGAAAAAACTATTTAGTCCGATGAGTGAGAAAGATGAAAACGATTAAGAATGACAAATACAAACAAAAATTGAACTGAAGAAAAATGTTGAAAAATAGAGATTTTGGAGACTGAGATGTCAGAAGTTGAGAGTGAGAACGTCAAGTAAGAGAGAAATTGAGAAAATGATGAATCAATATGAGAGAAAAAGTGAGTTTTGAAAAACATTAGAGAGTGGAAGAAAAAAAGAGGAGGAATCAAGGAGAGGGAAGAAGGAAGGAATAGTTTGTCCTCAGACTTCTCAAATTAATGAGTTCCATATGCACCTAATCTATTATGCAATATTAACAATGTAATAAGTATATTTTCAGGCAAAGAAAGTTTGAAAGGGTTTACAACTAATTGGCTATCACTAAGAGTTTGAAAGGGTTTACAATTAATTGGCTATCACTAAAAGAACTGCTAATGATTCTACTTCAGAAGAATAAAGATTCTCCAAGAGGAAAACAGAGGATGAAAAAAAACAATGATCAAAGAACTTTATAAACATATGCCTAAATCAAAATATATATTTGTGAGAAAAGGATTACTTTTTGTACATAAAAACAAAATCTAAAATAAAATGAAAGATTAAGGATAGGGAATTCATTGCTAAAAATCCAAAGAATATTTTATTGTTTGGGAGATACATAGGGAAACTGATTAATTTTTGAATTTTTAAATTGCAACCATTCTAACAGAGGGCAGGAGAAATGAGGGTAGAGGTGGGAAGCCCAAAAAGATAAAGTAGGAATCAGTCCAAATATATTATTATTCACTATCCTATCAAATGTAAGTGGATTTAATCCAGTTAAAATTCTCAGATTGCATTTCTGTTTAAAAGAGGCACACCTATAACTTTCAATAAATAAGTATAAAAGTAAAGTTTAAGTTGGAAGTATCAAAAAGGACAGAGGTAAAGAATAAGAGGACTAAAGAATAAGAATAGGACTAAAGTAAAGAATAAGAGGACTCTTTCTAGCAACAGTTATATTCATCTCTAAGTGTATATTTATTGAATGACTAAATGACTGACTGAAGGAATAGGTCACAAGGGGTATGTCTGGGTGGTGTCTGATCATATAAAAAATTGCATTTAAATACATGTTCTTTCACCGTGAGGACAAAGTAAAGAAACTATTTCCAGAGAGACACATGAAGGAGGCTTGAAAATAGGCCCTCCTGCCTCCCTGGTGGCGCAAGGGGTTAAACACCACACTATGAAGCAATCTGCAGCCTCTGCAGCATGAGTTTGATCCACAGGGAGCAACCCACATGGTGCAGCAGACCTCTCCTGACTCACCTGCTGCTCCCCCAGCAGTGTACTTCAGTCAGCCTGCCTGTTCCGTTCGGCACTCTGTCTCTGGTGAATCCTTTCACCCCCCACATCTCTGGCCTGTACCCCAGCACGTGTATGCATAAATAAATAAATCTTTTTTTTAAAAAGTTTTTAAAAAAAAGAAAGAAAGAAAATAGGCCCTCACAAGGAATTTAAGAGAGGTAAGTGAGGGAAGGGGAGAGGGAGGGAAAGAGGTTAGGCATCCAGAATATGGGGCTTAAGTGTTCAAAAAGAATTCACAAGATCAAACAAGGAAGATTAAAGAGCATAAATCACTCAGCTCCATTCCCAAAGATGGAGGTAATAGAGAGAGTATTATGGGTTGAGGAGGGAAGGAAGATCAAAATGTCTGGTTGCCTCATGAAAGAGGGAGGTTGAATGTGAAATTCCTGTAACTGAAGGTTAATTTCTACTTTGCAGGCCTTCTGCTTTCCCAGTTTATGCTAGAGTGACCTTTGCAAACCTTCATTAGAATAGCCAACATCAGAAGCTCCATTTTGCCAGCAATTTTTGTGTTTTGTTATTGTAGAAGCTCTAGACCTAGATAAGTGCTCATTGGAGGCAGGCAGGCAGACGGTACATATTTGCTGAGAAAATGCAGTTCTGTCTTGTGCTTTTCATAGCCCTGATCAGGGAAGTGGCTGAGTCCAGTTGAAATATAGACTTGTTTGTTTAATATGCTGGGTTAAGCTATAGCATCTCCATGCCCACCCTGTGAAAGCAGGCAGGGGTTTAGATTATATATACAGGAGTTATAAGACCTAATTCATTCCTAGTAGTACTGCTCCTCTTGATGTGCAAACTTTAAGACCTTACTACTTTCATCTACAAAGATGAAGACAATTAGTGCTTGCCTCAGCAGCACATATTCGAGTGGAAGACAATTGTACTTTACCTTATGTATTTATTGAGGATTAAATGAATCATGTACATGAAGCACTTGGATGTCCGATACATGGAAAACATCCCCTAATATTATTTTATATTGTTATTGTTATTAAATTGCATAACATTCTAATGTTTATTGCATGTAAAACCGCAGCATAGCATTTCTGCATTTACTCTGAGGAATATATATTGAGGAACAGATGTTTAGCTGAGCTTAACTTCAGTTAAATACCAGCCCCATTCTCATTACTGCTTTTCAAAAAAAATTTAAGATTTATTTATTTATGCATACAAGTGCTGGGGGACAGGTCAGAGATGTAGGGTGTGAGAGGATTCACCAGAGACAGAGTGGGGAACAGAATAGGCAGATTGACCAAAGTACACTGCTGAGGGGAGCAGCGGGCAAGATAGGAGAAGTCTGCTGCACCACGTGGGTTGCTCCCTGGCAGGCCAGGGATAGACCTCGTGCTGCAGAGGCTGCAATTGCTTCATAGTGCAGTGCTTAACCCATTGTGCCACCAGGGAGGCCCCGAGATTTTCAAAAATTTCTTATCTCAGTCTTAAAGTCATTGAGGACTCCAGAGTTGTTTTTCTATATATTCTATATGTAGAGACATTTACCACATTAGAAATTAAAATATATTTATTCATTTCAAAATAAAATGATAAATGAATTACATGTTAACTATGTTTTCCATCAAAAAGAAAAACGAGTGCCTCCCTGGTGGTGCAGCTAGTTGACTGCAGCACTGTGAAGCTGTCCACAGCCTCTGCAGCATGAGTTCGATTCCCAGCCGGCCAGTGAGCTACCCACATGGCACAGCAGACCTCTCCTGCCTCACCCACCGCTCCCCTCAGCAATGCTTTTGGTCTGTTTGCCTGTTCTGCTCCCTACTCTGTCTCTGGTGAATCCTCTCACCCCCTGCACCTCTGGCCTGTACTCCACTTCTTGTATGCATAAATAAATATATCTTTAAAAAAACAAGAAAAGGGCTATTGTTTTACATTATAATAACTTTATAGAAGACAGCAGAATCCTCTTCTGTTTTTGCACCCTTCTTTCGTGATATATGTCTTTATGCAGAGATGGTGTTAGAAAAGAAAGGAGTATTCTAATAGCCTTTGTGATCACTGCAGATATTCTTTGAAACTGCAGTATAATCTCAACACATGGTCATTTCTTTTTTTTTTTTAAGATTTATTTTATTTACTTATGCATATAAGAACTGGGGTTTAGGCCAGAGGTGCCAGGGGTGAGAGGATTCACCAGAGACAGAGTGGGGAGCAGAACAGGGAGATTGACTGAAATACACTGCTGAGGGGAGCAGTGGGCTAGTCCAGAGAGGTCTCCTGTGTCATGTGGGTCACCTCACTAGCCGAGGATCGAACTCGTGCTGCAGTGGCTGCGGAGAGCTTCATAGCGCGGTGCTTAACCCCTTGCGCCACCAGGGAAGCCCTTGAATTGTGAATTTGATTCTTTGACATTTCACATCAGAAGTGGTAAAGGAGAGAGATTAATCCCAGATGCTCTACTCGCATTCCTATCCCTATTTGCATGCACAAATTCAGACTCTGATGATATCCCTTGACCAATTGTCAACCATTGGGCCAAAAAGGTGCACATTGACAATTTGTTCTTCACTCCTGAGGATGAATTTAGGAAATATACTATATAGGTACAGGGCCATATGAGAGAAAATCATGTGGTCCCTGGTACATGCAGTATGATTTAGAAGTGGACAAGTATTTCAAGTGGTCGTGACACTTGTTCTGTGGACTCCAGGCCCAGCAGGGAGAGGCACATAGAGAACCCGAGAAAGCCCTTATTAAAATTTGCTACTTGCAGTCTTATTTGCAGGCAGTAATAACATTATCTGATAGCTTGTTAGGAATGTAGGATCCCAAGCTCTATCCCAGACCTACTGACACAGAATCTGCATTTGCACATGATCTCTAGGTGATTACATATGTATAAAGTATGAGTCATGGAACACCTTTAAAGGGACTCATGAAGAGGGCTGCTTTTGCTTAAATCTCAGGGCAGCACTGCTTTTCTGCCCTGAGCCTACAGCAGCCTCAATGAGCATATGGGATTTATCCCACCTACTCTAGTGAGTCATGGAAAGCTTCCGAGCAGTGGAGTTACTTAGTCTGAATTGTTTTTCTAAATAACAACAGTCGCTATCTTTTGAACATTATATTGCAATAAGCTTTGTGATTTACAGATAGACTCAGTGAATCTTCATTATAGCTGTGTGTGACTGAGATTATTGCTATTTTTCAGCAGAGATAATAGGCTTCGGGAGGTGAACACACTTTTTCTTTCACAGACATGTTATTTGAGTGACCTGAATCTCAAATCCAGTGGCATTAAATATTTACTATTGGTAGAAGTGAATGAGCTCATTACTCTCCACCTCTTTATTCTAAGACCTACCAATGCAGTCCTATTGTGCCCAGATAAACAGAGGGACCCTTGGGACTCCCCAGAACCACTCTTTTATCTACATGAATCATCATAGCATTTACATGATACAAGACTATGTTGATCACAGTGAGTAAAAATGTCCTCTGCTTTCCCTCCTGTCTCACCCCATCAGTCAGGGATCCAAAGTCCTCCTCAAAAAAGGACAGTAACAGGGCCTCCCCTGGTGGCACAGGTGGTTGAGTGCAGCTCTGTGAAGCTGCCCGCAACCTCTGCAGTATGGGTTCATCCCGGCCTGCCAAAGAGATACCCACATGGCGCAGCAGACCTCTCCTGTCTCGCCTGCTGCTCCCCTCAGCAGTGTATTTCAGTCAGTCTGTCTGTTCTGCTCCCAGCTCTGTCTCTGGTAAATCCTCTCACCATCCTGCACATCTGGCCTGTACCCAGGTTCTTGTATGCATGAATAAATAAATCTTTAAAGAAAAAAAAAGAAAAGAAAGAGAAAAAAAAAGAAAGGACAGTAACAGTATTCAAGGACCTCCGGCTCTGACTAAATCCAATTTCCCAGGGTGGATTAACTGGCAACACAAAAGTAGGGTGCATTTTCTGGGTCCTCTAAGATGCAGATGTCAAGACAATTAAACCTGAAGGAATTTTGTTAGGGGAAATGTCTGTGGGGAAAATAAGGAGGGAGTCAGGGGAGGCTGGGAGAGTTATCAGACATCTATAAAAATCTAACCCCTAATGAAGAAGGGAAGAAAGGGTAGAACATCCCAAACCACCCACCAGTCTAAGGGGCTGAATGAAGGATACACAGGATCCCCCTGTGAATTTTTTATTTACTACTTCTTATGACTCCCTATTTCAAAGAAAAGCCAAATCCAAATCACTAGATGTGACAATTTTTGCATTTAGAGTTCAAATAAATTTTAAATAACTTAAATGAAAATTAATCTTTATATTTAACCAGGTATTTACCACTTCTGTGACCTTTTATTCTTGAAGTTCTGATTTTCCTCTTATATTATTTCCCTTCAACCTGTAGATCTTCCTTTAACATTCCTAGAGATTGGACTATTGCTGCAGACTTTCATAGTTTCCTTCATCTGAGAATGTCTTCATTTCAACTTCATTATTGAAGAATAGTTTCCATCTACATAAAAATTCTGAGTTGACACTTCTTTTCTTGCAGCATTTAAAGACGTTTGTCCCACTGTTTATCTTCTTTTATTTCTGATGAGTAATCTGTGATCATTTGTCTCATTTATCTATTTTTTTCATCTATAGATTTCAGCAATCTCGCTAAAGAAAATATCCCTTTACTCTGAATCACAAAGATATTGACATACAATTTTTAATATTTTCAAAGCTTAATTTTTTTACTGATACTAAAGATGTATTTCTCTAAGGTATGAAATGTGAATCATTTCCCAGTTGAGGTAGAAGTTCTAGAGGTTAACTTCATATGCCTGAGGTCATCACAGCAAACCAGGCCCCTTGAAAATATTGCTTTCCATGGAATAAATGACTTTATCGGCATCCCTTTTCCACTCAGGATTTCCATTCCAGATTGCAGTACCCCTGATGAACAGAATGGCCCCAGAGTATTCCCAGCCAGACCCTTTTATCAACATGGATGATTTTAATATAAGTGTGATACCACAGGTTCCAGCTGTTCCCAGTAAGCATAATTCCCCTGTACCCTCCCTTCTCAATTATTACCCTCTTTTCATGGGATCCTGTAATTGTAGTTTGAATTTGTTTTAAAGCAACTATTGATTGTTATAACTTTTTTCCCCTCAAAAAAAGTCCATTCAAAAAGCATTCCCATTATAAAAGGGGAAGCTATCAATTTCATGTGAAAGTCAAGTGCCTTTGGCCCATGGTCGACCAAATTAAAACAGATGAATTGAAAATCAAGATATAGAGTAAGTGAGAGTGTTTTTCTAGGAGAGAAGGACTAACACATAGGGAAATAAAAATATGGAAAGCAGGGCTTTCTGGTGGCACAAGGGGTTAAGCACAGCACTGTGAAGCAATCAGCAGCCTCTGCAACATAAGTTCAATCCCTGGCCAGGGAGCAACCCACATGGTGCAGCAGACATGTCCTGTCTCATCTGCTGCTCCCCCAGCTGTGTTTCAGTCAGTCTGCCTGTTCTGTTCCCCTCTCTGTCTCTGGTGAATCCTCTAATTCCCCCTGTACCTCTGGCCTGTATCCCAGTTCTTGTATGCATATATAAATAAATCTTAAAAAAAATATGGAAAGCCCCTTTTCCAAACCAGATACAATTCTGATAGAGTTTTTTCCCCTATGCCAAGCAATTCTTTAAGACCAACCATGTGTCCTGTATACAATTTAACTGAATTCTTACACTTTCTACCTGGAGAGAACTTCAGATTCCACAAATTAATAGCTCAATTTCACAAGACTGCCCCCACTTAGATGCCAGTGCAAGTTCCTGTTGTTGTCTGTGCTTCTGAATTCAACAACTATACATCACAGGTTCCCACAATCCCCTATTTGGGTTAATTTGCTAGAATGACTAATAGAACAAAAGAGACCAATTTATTCACTAGACTTTCATTTTATTACAAAGATTACTAAAAGAAACGAACAGCTGGATCAAATGATACATATACATTGAGGTCCCATGTCTGTGTGGAGTTTGGTTGGCATGTGAATACTTCTTGTTCACCAACCTGGTAGCTCTGAGAACTCTATCCTTTGGGATTTTATGCAGGCTTTATTACACAGACACAATTGGTTAAGCCATTGCTCCTTGGTGACTGATTCAACCTCTAGCTCCTCCTCCCTCCCCAGAAATCAGGGGGTAGGGTTGAAAGTTCCAACTCCATTCATAGTTCCCCTGACAACCATCCCAACCTTAGGTTTTTTCCAAAAGTCACCTCACTAACAGAAACTCAATAACAGTTTCTTTTTTCCTTCTACTTTCTTTTGAAATTTAAGTTAGAGTTTTCACACATTTTGTAGGCATATGTGCCACAGGTACATTATTATGTCTCTTATTTTCCCTTTTGATAATGGTGATCTTTTCTGTTGTGCATTTTTTATGTGAAATGAATTTTCCTGTGCTTTCATAAGTGAAGGATGAGCCAGAAGGATTTTTGGTTTCCTTTTCTGTTGCCTTTTGTGAAGTTATCAAGCAGAGATTTGCTTCCTCTAACACCTCCTTCATCTGAACTTCCCCTTTCTTTGTCTGTTTTTTTAATTTAGCAGTCCCTTCCAGCCAAACACAAATATGTTTTTTTCCCTAATGCACAGTTTTTGTTTTGTTGTGTTGTGTTTTGTCTTTTTTTGGGATGCTTTGGTTTGTTAGTTCATAAGGTCATGGGGCCTGGACTATACCACTACTTTTTAGATAAATCTGAGTTTCTTCTCTACTCACTCACAAAATGGAATCTGCAGAACTATTGTTAGTTTCAGATGTTTTTCTCAGAATAGCTTGCTGAGCTATCCAGTGTCTACATGGTAATGTTTAAGGGGCTCTCTTCTCAAGTCCTGATGATTTACTGCTGTGTACAGGTGAGTAGCAAGTCACAACCAATAACCCCAAGACCCATTTGAAAGAGCAAGGAAGGAGTTGTCAATCTAGACTGGTTATTAAGCCTAGATATGAACCTAAAACTAAGATGCAAAAAATGATCAGTTATGGTTACTTATGATTATTTAAAGGCATGATATTTCAAGTGACAAAGAAGCAAGTTGATAATGATTTAAGAAAACTAAAAACATGCAAAAAGATCAGTCTTTTCCCTCTTTTTCATCCCCTGTAAGCTTTTTTCTTATTTTAGTTCTATGTATTTATTAGTTTACTTTTATCTATAGTTTACATATACAGACAACAGGATTTTAAAAAATTTTTTGTTGTGAGGCTATGAGTATTTGTTATGGCATCATTGCTCTTTTCTATATTTTAAGAAATAAAATTTTATAAGATAATCAAACTACATTAATAGTTGGAGACAATATACATGATCATATCAAAAGATGACAGAAAATATTTAGAAATTCAATATCCATTTCTGATAAAAATTTAATCAGAATATTAAGACATTTCCTTAACTGAAGGAGCTCTGCATCAAAAAGATCACTCAACAGAGAAATATTAACAACATTGCTATTGAAGTAAATAAAAGGCAAGAATGTCCTCTTATACAGGTACCGTGTAGCTCTGTACTGGTGGGCCTAACAAATCCAACAAAAGTAGTATCACAAAGAAGCAAGCAAGTCACTGTGGTGTCAGCCACCCAGAGTCAAGACCTGGCATCTTTATCTCTTGGATTCCAAATATGGTTCAGGGAGGTCATGGGAGATTCACAGCTATGGTTTTGCGGGGAGGGGACGGGGGAAGGGTGTAGGGTTAGTGTAACCACTCCCCTCCATCTGTGTTCTACAGCAATATGGAAGAAACACCAAGGTCATACCTCATTCACCTGTATATACCTGTTTGGCCACACCATGTTTCCAGATAAAAATCTCCAGAGGGAACTTGCTTTGAAACTCGACCTATCAGAGTCAAAAGTAACAGTCTGTGTGATCGCCTGTTTTTGGTACCCCATCTAAATTACATGCTGTTGAGTAGCCTGGAAATTTCCTCCATAACATAAAAATAACAGTATTGCATTTATTGAGTACCTACTGTGTGTGAGGCTGAACTGGGCCCATTGCATATATTGACCTCACTATTATCCAGTTTAAAAGATGAGGTTCAGGGCCTCCCTGATGGCTCAAGGGGTTAAGACCCAACCCATGAAGCTATCCACAGCCACTGTAGCACGAGTTCAGTCCCTGGCCAGGGAGCTACCCACATGATGCTGCAGACCTCTCCTATCTCACCCACTGCTCCCCTCAGCAGTGTATTTCAGTCAATCTGCCTGTTCTGTTCCCCACTCTGTCTCTAGCGAATCCTCTCACCCCCAACCCCATACCTCAGGCCTGTACCCCAGTTCTTGTATGCAAAAATAAATAAATCTTTAAAAAGAAAAAAAGATGAGATTCAGTGACTGGGTCAAAGAGATAATAAGTATAACTGGAATTAGACATACAGAGATTTTATCATATAGAGCTCAATAAGGAAGAACTCTTATCCAGATGCTTCACTTAGGGTCTTCTGAGAAAAATCTTACAAATCTGTTTGCACATAACATTACCTACAGACAAATAACTTCCCCCAAACTCTGCATCTACCAGGACCAAAAAATTTTTGTTAGAGTATTCCTTACTGTGGAGATCTTCTAAAAATAATTCTTGAGAATCATTCAATTCAAATTCTCCACTTCCCTCTAGATCCATGAAGCTTCTCTTCTCTAAAGTTCAGCACCCTTTGTCTGAACCTCCAGCACAATCTCTGAAACATACATTCTTTCTTGTCTTGTTTCTCTGGGGTCCTAGCCCCAACCCCAATCCTGGTCCCTCACTGTCCTGACTGACTCCCTCATACCCACCTCTGCTCTCTCAGAACTCAGTTTTATGGTGACTTAAAGAGGACATAATGGTATATATATATATATATATATATATATATATATATATACATATATTTTATCTAGGTGAACCCTCAATCTCTTTCTCTATTAAAAGATCACAATCTTTCCCTTCTTCCCCAAACCCCAGATTTGGTTCAGGAACTGACAATTTAAATTGAAGAAGCAAAGAAAGTTTGTTCAATAAATGGTGCTGGGAAAACTGGGTTGCTACATGCAAAAGAATGAAGCTTGACCACTACCTCACATCATACACAAAAATCAACTCAAAATGGATTAAAGAACTAGACATAAGACCTGAAACCATAAAATATATAGAAGGAAATATAGGCGAAACACTACGTGATTTGCACATCAAAGACATCTTTACAGACACATCACCCAAAACAGTGATAGTGAAGGCAAAGATAAACAGCTGGGACTACATCAAATTAAAGAGCTTCTGCACCGCAAAAGAGACAATAACAAAAACAAAGAGAAACCCCAACTGGGAGAACATTTTTGCACACAACACTAATGATAAAGGACTGATCACAAAAATCTGCAAAGAGCTGATGAGACTCAACAACAACAAAGAAAATAATCCAGTCAAAAAATGGGCAGAAGAGCTAAAAAGAAACTTCTCTGAAGAGGAAATGCAAATGGCCAACAGGCATATGAAAAAATGTTCAACATCACTTGTAATCAGGGAAATGCAAATCAAAACTACCATGAGATACCATCTTACACCAGTGAGAATGGCACATATTAAAAAAACTAGCAACAACAAATGTTGGCGAGGGTGTGGAGAAAAGGGAACTCTCCTGCACTGTTGGTGGGAGTGCAAACTGGTCCAACCACTATGGAGAGCTGTGTGGAGATTTCTGGACCTACTAAACATAGAGCTTCCATATGATCCAGCAATTCCACTCCTAGGTATTTACCCAAAGGACACAGAAACATCAATTCCAAAGAGCACCTGCACCCCTATGTTTATAGCAGCACTGTTTACAATAGCTAAGCTTTGGAAACAACCCAAATGCCCAAAAATAGATGACTGGATCAAGAAGATGAGGTACATATATACCATGGAATATTACTCAGCATTCAAAAAAGATAAACACATGCAATTTGCAGCAACATGGATGGCGCTGGAAGGGATCATGCTCAGCGAAATAAGCCGAAAAGAAAAAGAAAAATACTGGATGGTCTCACTCATAGCAGGAATCTAGAAAACTTAAATAAGGGACCAGGAAAATGAATAACTATAAGAAAGTGAAAATCAAAATCAACAAAAACTATGAACCAGAGACACTTTTTGGGGGTGGGGGGGCGGGAGGGGAGGGATTGGGGTCAGAATGGGGGGGTTGCAATTGTATGGGGAATATAAAAATAAAATTTATAAATAAATAAATAAATAAATAAATAAATAAATAAATTGAAGAAGCAGCAGCAACAGCAGCAGCAATCACTAAAGCTATCAAACCAGATCCTTCCAGCCAGGAATGTGCCTGCCTCACCCAGAGCATCAACCGGTGCTCATCCTATTTTCCCTACAGATTCAGATTTCTATAGCTCCCTTCCATCTGAGTACGTAGGTCCTTCTGACTGGACATGGCATTTTTCACCACTGAGAGTCCCACAAGTGATGATCAAAGGCAAGAGCCTCTGTTAGAGTGGCTAGTGGCTTCAGTCACTGCGTTGTATTCTGAAGCCTATGACATAGCCCAAATCATGGACTTGTACAGTTTTCCTGATGAGGAAGAGATAACCAGCTCTTCTTTTTGCTGTCTATATCATTATCTAACCCCCACCCAACATGGCCCTAGCTAGACAAAGGTTTCCTCCCTTAGCATCTTTGCTGATCCAGCTGTCAGTCTATCTGCTGGGCAAGCCTGGGGTCTGCTAGGACAAGCAGAGGTTTTGCAACCCATGGTCTAAGATAGATCCTGGAATTTCAAAACCCCTCCAGTTTGAATTTCTCAGATCAAAGCATTGATAAATACCAGATCATATAGAAAAAAGATATTCTTGCCTCATGTACATGCTTCTCTTCTTACTTTTGTTGCTTACCTGGGTTGTCACTGTTATTTCCATGGAAATATAAAAAACTCAGGTTTTTTCCCAAGTATACCTCACTACCACATGATCAACCACATAACTATCCCTGGAGAGAAAACTTTCCCAGTCCCTGTATCGTCAATGAGACTCTAGAATCCCTTCTTAAAGTTACCTTAGACTCTTGAAAAGAAGGTCAGTAACTTTTAGGGCTCACCTACTTTTAATGGGCAGCTTATAAACTTAACATTTTATTTCCAGTCTTTAGGTCTGGATTTTCTAAAGGCATTTTTAGTAAATTTAAGGAGAAATCACCATTTGTTTTGATATTATATGAGTCCACATGTAGAATTGTGAGAACTGTCATAGGAAGAGATAAAATGAATATTGAAGATGAGAGGATTATCTAGCAAAACTGACAAAACAGGGCTTCCCCAGTGGCACAGCGGTTGAGCGCTGGGTTGTGAAGCTGCCCGCAGCCTCTGCAGCGCTGGTTCAATCCCCCCGCCACTGGGCAAGGGTCCCACACGGCGCGCAGACCTCTTCTGCCACCCGCTGCTCCCCTCAGCAGTGTACTTCGTCACTTCGTGTACTTCTGCCTGCTCTGCTCTCCACTCTGACTCTGGTGAAATCTCTCACCCTCCCGCGCTTCTGACTGTACCTGGTGCTTTTATAAATAAATAAATAAATAAATAAATAAATAAATATTAAAAAAAAAAAAAAACCTGACAAAACAGCCAGATTGTTGGCGTAGTAAATTCTCCCAATACATGATCATCCTACAAATTAATGTCATTTCTTAACACTAGTAATAAAGAAACATAAAATAAATGCCTCCTGATGAAAAAAATCTAAGACTTAACTAAGAAAATTGAGACCTCTGTGGAGAAAAGTTCAAAACCTGAATAAAAGGATACAGAAAATGTTTTTCAAAAAGACACCCTACTGAATGGGAGAAGATATTTACATGTCATTTACTAACATGGATTTCATATCCAAGATTTACAAAGAACTCATACAACTCAACAAAAAGAAAACAAATAGCCCAATCAAAAAATAGACAGAAGAGCTAAATAGATATTTCTCCATAGAAGACATACTGATGACCAAGTCCACTGAAAAAAAAAAAAAAATGTTCACTGGTCACATATCAAGGAAATGCAAATCAAAATCAAAATGAGATACCATTTCACACCAGTGAGAACGGCCCATATCAAAAAGAGCAGAAACAACAGGTGTTAGGAAATGTAGAGAAGAAGGAACCCCACACATTGCTGGTGGAAATGTAGCCTGGTCCAGTCCATATGGAAGCAATATGGAGATGTCACAAAACATTAAAAATAATCTAATATATGATCCAATATTTTCCCTTCTAGGCATCTATCCAAAGACTACAAAAACATTAATTTGAATAATATTTGCATCCCTGTGTTCACTGTAGCATTATTTATAATTGCCTGTTATGGAAACAACCCAAGTGTTCAACAGCACATGAGTACATTAAGAAAATGTGGTATATTAATACAATAGAATACAATTCAGCCATTAAAAAAAAAGGTGAAATATTGACATTTGGACAATATGGATAGAACTGGAGGGGATTATGCTATGTAAAAAAAGTCAAAAGGAGAGAGAACCAAATATTGGATGATTTCATGCGTAAGTGGAATACAGAGGATAAAAACAAAGAAACTGATAAAAATAAACAAAAACGCATCCCAGAAATCTGATAGCAAAATTGAGGCTACCAGAGGGGGAGGGAAAGTGTGGAGAGCAAAGCAAGGGGAGACCCCAATGGATGATAGCAGAGGCCTACGGGTATTTGGGTGGCAGGTGTGGTAACAAAAATCTGGAGAGGAATGAATTTATAACTCTAAATAATATACAGTAAACCAATGTTAACTCAATAAAAAAAAATACAATGAATTCTTTCATTGTTCAGAAAAGACATTTCTCTGTGTTCCTCCTAGCCATACCTCCCTTTCAACCCATGGCAACCACTGGTTCTTTTTACTGTCTCTATAATTGAACCTTCAAATCAATAATTTTTCAGCTTAGGAAACTAGAAAAAGGAGAGTAAATTAAGTCCAAAGTATGCAGATGAAGGAAATAAAGACTAGGGTAGAAATAAATTAACAGAGAATAAGAAAACAATAGAGAAAATCTATGAAACCAAATGCTTAAGTGATCAACAAAATGACAAAACTCTAGACTCACAAAAAATAAAAAAGAAGACTCAAATTACTAAAATCAGAAATAAAAAATGAGACATAACCACCAAATTTACAGAAATTAAAAGCATCATAAGGAATACTACGAGCAACTGGATTAAGCAATATCTAAGTCTCCTACTCCCTCCTGTTCTCTTACACTGGACTTATGTTACACTAATTCCTGAGTTAAGAACATTCCCTTTCTTAACCACTTGGGAAAAAAGAGGTCCAGGAACCACTTACATGACAAGAAAAAGGAGAAACAGAGAGGACCTCGTGTCACTTACACAAGTTGCTGTTTCAGCCACTGATGGTTTAGATGCAAAGCACAGTTATAATTAGAGCAGCAGCCTGTCCTGAATGCTCCTCCAGACAGCAGAGCACAGCTGGACCTGCTGACTGCATAGGAGTCTGAGAGGCCTCTGTGGCCTTGAAAATGTTCCTTCTGCAAAGGATTTCCCTCCTTCCTCAAGGGAAAGAAGACACATTGGTATAAAACCCCGCTTCCCTCTGGCTTCCCTTGCTAAATCCCACTCCAGCAGAGACTGAGTGTTGATAAATACAGGGGAAGGAAAAAAAAAATCGTAAGTTGAGCCTGGTCACACTGCCCCTTGTGATATAGTTTTATTTTTAACTTCGAAACACTTGAACTATTTCTGTTCAAGTTTTCTCTCCTTTCCTTTCCTCCCAAGCAGAACTCTATCCTACTCTGCAGCTGATGCACCCCTGGCCACCTCCTCAAATCTGCTTGCTCACAATCAAGGGACACGGGTGTAGCAGATGCTGACTTCACCCAGGCTATTCAGGTAAGCTTTTCAAACGTGAGCAGGTGTACCACGGGGATGTTCAGAGTGGTGAACATGCAGGAGGAGGTTGAGCACCACATCACCTTTTTGCTCTGAGCAACAAGGTTGTTAAGCAAGTTAGTTACAAGTTGACATTGGTGGGGGAATATTGGCACTGAGAATGAGACCCAGCTAATGTGTAAGTCCACGTTTTGAAAAGTTGGCTAATATTACCTGATTTCTAACAGTTTAGGTTCTTTCTTCTACAATGCATGAGAGAGGTTATGTGATATCTCTAAAATGACACAGTGGTGAGGGGGAGGGGCCGACAGAGTGGAGGTGGTAGAAAGTCCAGAACCCAGGGTTTCTATTTTCTTAAGTCCAAATGCTGTGATCATTTCACCAATCGGCATTTGTTTTGTTAATTATAAGTCATTCTCATGTAATTTAAATGTCACCCATTGTCAAGCTCCCTGTTAATGTAGCACAATCATACTTACATCATGTACTATTTAAACTTTACCCGCAGAGTTTTAGATTTATTTTTCTCCAACAATATTCCCCAAATATGGCTCTTTCCTCCCCAGCTCTCCTGAATCCAAAACGCATTCATGCAATAGAACTAAAAATATTTCACAAGCTAAGTCACTTATTAAGGCTTTTGCACCTAAACCGAAAGTTATTACAAACTTGAAGTTTATATATTCAGAGAGACAATAGTAAAATGATTAATGATTCCTGAAGTACTGAGAGCTTTAAAATGTAGATGGATAACTTCTAGCTCTTAGAATAACTGCACAGTGTTGCATGCATAGGCAAAAATGATCAGGGATAAGAGGGCAGTGTTTGTTTTCTTGTTTTGCTCTGAGCCTCACTTTAGTCTTACAGTACAAAGTTCAGCTAAGGACACCCTGTGAAGTGGCCTACAAAGCAAAAGGGATTCTGTATACTCAGAACTTTAAAGTGTATAAGCTAAACCCACCATGCCAAGTAAAAAGAGACCTACCCATATTTCTTAATTCCTGTTCCTTCCTACCTCTGTAAGCTCTAGATGCACCCCATAGCTCTGCTATAGGTGTCTAAGATATAATTATGATTTTTGCTATGCACAAATTCGTCTTGCATACATGCTTAATAACTTCAATTAACCTTGTCAAGGTTTCCTTGGCCCCGACGATTTCAAGGTGTATGCTGGGGTGCTGGCTGAATGAGAGTGGGACATGTCAGCTGAGGAGTGACTCAGACTGACTCACAGTTAACCCCAGATAATTCAGCTTGTTAGGTACCTTGCCCCCTTATCCCTGATCATTTTTGCCAAAAATAAAACGGTAGTCTAATAAACACCAGCTATGAAAATTAACTAATTAAATTACTAGAAAGTTTAAAGGTAGAGCTATTTCTAGCATATGTGAAAAACTGCATGTAGTAGTTGAAAAGGTTTGGGGGTAAGTGGTTATGTTTCTAGGGTATAGAGAAGGTACTGTAGTTATGGACCAGCCCAGGATCATGGAATCCTCAGTTAACTGATTATGTTAAAATCTCAAAAGGTAAAGGAATTACCTAAATACTTAAATTTACACATTTTCTTTCCCTAGAATTAAATATCTCCATAGCAGGGAAATAGGTTAACAATATATAATGAAAGGAATTAGTTAATTGGCTGCTTCGTTGGTTAAGAATTAAAGAATACCTTTGACCTTTAATTTTGACCTTGTCACTTTCATTGAAGTTAAAGTTCGAGAATAAATAATTATTGCCAGCTCTAGCCACATGAGGTGGCAAAATAGTCACTGACATCATGTGAGGGGTGCCGAGATGCCCCTTGTCTAAAAATATCTTCCTGACATCAACCTTATTTGCCTACTAACTTAAAAGTTATAGTAAAGAATGTTAAGTCTGTTATCTGTTAATTCCATTCTTTTTAGCATGGGTCAGTAATTTAAATATACCTGCTATATGCCTTTTCATGACCTAGTTGGCAAAGGACACTTGGTCACCACCTCATCCTCATCCTTCCAAGCTCTGTCCTTCTTTGCCCTTGGTACCACCTGGGCTGCCCTCATGCCCTTGGCCACTAACATGCAGGTGGCTTGTAGAGTGCTGCTGTTTCAGTAGACTCAATAAAACATCAAAGTGAATTTTATGCAAGCATGCACAGGGTAGGTTTACTATCGATTTTGGCAGATCGATAGAGTCCTGGAGGCCTGGGTGGATTTTTCAGACTTTAATGTTCTCTTAGGGAACCAGGTACACAGGCACACCAGTCAGGGAGGCTGGAATGCAAGAAGGCAGTCATGGGCCAGGCAAGGGGTCTGGGAGGCAGGCAGGCAAGCGAGTCTCCCAATCCTCCACAAATCTTCACTCTTTCTCGATTTTTCCCCTCCCTCCCTTCACCCCTCTTCTGTACTCATACCACTTGCCTTCCTCATTTAGCCCCGCCTCTAGGCTCAGTGGTGCACACTTATGCATGCCCAGGTGTCCACAAGTAAATATGCATGTCCCACGCCCACACTCCCAAGCACCTCCTGCATTAACACAATCAAGGCCGCAGGTTACAGCCATAGAGTTTAATGGCATAAAAAGCCTGATAAATTTACTTACCCTACTGTGAGGTTAAAGAAAACAAAAGTGGGCCTCCCTGGTGGCACAAGGGGTTAAGCACAGCACTATGAAGCAATCCGCAGCCTCTGCAGCACGCATTTGATCCCCAGCCAGGGAGCAACCCACGTGGTACAGCAGACCTCTCCTGTCTCACCTCCTGCTCCCCTCAGCAGTGTACTTCCATCAATCTGCCGATTCTGTTCCCCACTCTGTCTCTGGTGAATCCTCTCACTCCCCACATCTCTGATCTCTACCCCAGCTCTTGTATGCATAAATAAATAAATCTTTAAGAAAACGAAAGTATATGATTAAAGCCAGAGACTCTGGTGAAATGCTTTACTTCTCTGGGCCTCAGTTTCACTTGTAGGAGATGAAGAGGTTAGACTAGACCCTTTCCTTTCACAGTGAGGTCCTTGGACCATCACCATTGACTAGGACTGTTATTAGAGGAGATTCAGGCCCACCTCAGTCCTGCCAGATCAGAATCTGCATTTTAACAAGATTGCCAGGTGATTCCTATGCATGTTGAAATTGGAGAAGCTTCAAAGTACAGAATTTCTGATTATCTCCCTCATCCAGATTTCTGATTTTATGACTGCAAGGGTTAAGAACAAGTACTATAACCCACTGAAAACAATTCTGACAGCATGACGATTGTTATAACTCCAACCTCCTGAAGTCTTTTCTACTGAATTACTTAAACCTAATAAAATTGAAAACATTTTTCTTCCTTAAAAAAAAACCCAGAATTAATTATCTGACATCATTATATTTTCCTCCTAAATTTGTTTCAAATTGCTCTCACAGTTCTTTCAAAGTTCTGCCTTCTTTAGGTTTCTGTTCAAATTCAGTCAACTGAGACTTAATAAGTGTTGATTGAGGCAGTGCTGTACTCACGCTCTCAGTCCCTAGGAACGTTCCCCACACTCCTGGAGAGGCGTTCCTGCTGTCTGGTTGAGCTCCTGCGGTGCCACCAGAACACATCTCAGTGGTCTCAGCCCTTCTGCTCCTTCATGCTCTTCATCAGAATGGCTCACAACCCACATCGTCACAGCCCCTTCCCTCAGGTGTGTGGACTTGTGCAGCCAATGGCAAGAGAAGCTGAGTCTCGACTGGCACCTTCCTTTTTATTTTTTATTTTTAAATAAACAGTATAATGCAAGTAAACAATAAAAGCTACAAGCTTGGGTCTAGGAAATAAAGATGCCCTCAGGTTACCTTTTTGGCCTCCATAAATCCCTCCAGGCTGATGCAGTATTGTTTGAATTCCTGAGTGCTTAAGGAGTGAATGTTTTGTGGTAATTACAAGGGAACAAAAGTTAGTGGGGGAGATTCAGGGAATTCACATTCTTAAAGGAGCAAGATAAACTTTTTAAAAATAGGGTTTGAAGATTATTAAACTGTCAGTGGTTTGTAAGATATATCGGAGTGAAGGAGAACTGAAAATTGAAAGGCCAGCCAAGGGCCATGGGAGTGATGCAATGGGAAGAAATAAAGGCTTGGAGAAGGGAGGTGACCATGAGAATAACCTTCTTCATAGAGGAAGGACTAACAATAGGGTGACTCATATTGAGACACTTTTCCTACTTTATCTCATTTGTCACAATCACATGGGTTTTTATGAGCTCTATTTTATGGATAAATAAATTCACTTTCAGGAGATTAAATAACTGGTCAAAAATAATTTGGCTAATACATGAGTGCTCATTAAGTTATTTTGTAAAGAGGGTGTTAGATAAAGCCTCTTGTGGAGGTAGCATGTGAGCTGAAATCTAAACGACAACAAGGAGTCCATAATGCAAATAAGTACTAAAACCAGGAGAGTCCCAGGAAAGCCAGGAACATTGGTCACCCTGCTCACCGTGGATAGGTTATTTAAATTCTTCAAGCTGTCTTTTTCCTATAAAGTGGGGGCGATGATAATTATCCCCCGGCTGGCAGAAGAAATTAAAGGGAGAGTAGACAAAGTCTCTTTGATCCCTGCTATTAATATAGATAACCATGATAATTTATTACTAATCATTCATATTCATATTTTTATATTTTCCCCTAGAGTTACGGAGCAAGAAGTAATTAGAGAGTTATGGTAAGTACCCGGTGCTTATTGGAACTTCATTTTTTCAGAAGTCCTAGTCTGGCTTCATTTAGCCTGTCATCCAAGCAGCTGGCAGACTTGTCCGTACGGTTTGAGGATATTTATTGGCTTTTTGACAAACTAGAAGTACTAGAGCAGGACCAAGACAAAATTGATAAGGAGTAGGGGGAAAGGACAGAGTCAAGAAATATTTCAGAACAAAGAGTTTAGTACAACTTTCAAAATTAAAAAAAAAAATCCAGCAGTAATCTAAATTGTTAACTATTTCTCCAATCAGCAAGTTTAATTGGGCACAATGGTCCAGCTCCTGAGAGAGGGCTGGGAACACAGATGTGAGCAAAACTGGGCATGGCCCTTGTCCTCCCAGTGCGCCCCCTGGTGGTACTTGGTTAAATGACAACACACTCATTCTGGAAGATTATACTGCAATTATGAAGAAGGTTTGCAAAGAATAACTAAGAAAACAGCCTAGTCTCATGGTATATAATAGCAAGTTTAAAAATTGTGTTCATAGTATGGCATGATTTTATTCATAGTATTAACTGTGTGATATAAACCACCTATAATTCACTACTCAAAAATAGCAATTGTCAACATTGTGATTCATTACATTCAGCTTTATATTTGCCTTTCCTATTTTAAACACACCTACCATATACATAGAATAAACTAGTGAAAAATAAAGAAAAAATTGTTAACTGTTATTTCTGAGCTGTGGAATTAGGAGTCCTATTTTTTTTTTTTTTTTGCTTTCTTCTCCATGATTGTCTATAATTTTTAAGGTTCCCACATTAGACATGTATGACTAGGAAACTAAAACAGTCATGTGTAGAGCTTCCCTGCAAGTAGTCACTCGTCTTCTCTTTCCCCTTGCCTTTGATGTCTCCAGGGTCGGGTGCACAGACCTCCTCTTGGGCAGCACAGGCATTGTGAGAGATGTTTCAGCCGGCACTGCCGCATTCCTGTGGAGCCCGAGGTCTCCTGCCTCGTGATAAATTGCCGTCTGCTCTGTGGTGCCACCTTCCACATGTGCAAAGAGGAAGAGCATGAGCTCCTCTGCCCTTTAGAACAGGTTCCGTGCCTCAACTCGGAATATGGCTGCCCCCTTTCTATGTCCCGCCACAAGCTGGCCAAGCACCTGCAGGTGTGCCCTGCCAGCGTGGTCTGCTGCTCCATGGAGTGGAACCGCTGGCCAAACGTGGACTCTGAAACACCCCTCCATCAGAACATCATGAAAGAAACTCCTAGTGAGGAGTGTTTGGATACAGCCCTGGCCCTCCAGGACCAGAGGGTCCTTTTCAGATCTTTGAAAATGGTAGAACTTTTCCCAGAAACTAGAGAGCCCACTGAACAGGAACCAACAATGAATGGGGAAGCCAGTTGGAAGGAAATGGGGGGAGCCGTGGGTGGAATGGGTGCTGGTTTGGTACCACAAGACTCTCTGTCAGCTACTAATGGAGAGACGGCAGATCTGAGCCAAGAAGAAAGAGAGGCATTAGCCAAAACCAAAGATGGGATGGACCTGGCCATGTTTGGCAAGTGGGAAAATATGTTCAGCAAAGAACATGGAGCCTCTGCTTTAACCAAGTCATCAGGGAGCTGTGAGAGTAAAAGCACGAATGGTCCTGGGAACGAACAGATTTCTAGCAGCAATAACACGGTAGGAGAGGGTAATGCCAGAGGGACAGAAACACAGGAAAACCAGCAGCAAGGGGATCTTCATGTAGCTGTAGAAACAACTGGCCTTGCCCCTTGGCAGGATGGTGTTCTGGAAAGACTAAAAACAGCTGTGGATGCCAAGGACTATAACATGTATCTGGTGCACAATGGAAGAATGCTTATTCACTTTGGTCAGATGCCTGCTTGTACTCCTAAGGAGAGAGACTTCGTTTATGGCAATCTTGAGGCTCAGGAAGTTAAGACTGTGTATACCTTCAAAGTTCCCGTGAGCTACTGTGGAAAGCGGGCTCGTGTTGGCGATGCCATGTTGAGCTGCAAGCCCAGTGAACACAAGGCAGTAGATACTTCAGATTTAGGGATCACGGTGGAGGAGCTACCAAAATCAGATCTCATCAAGACCACTCTTCTGTGTGCTCTGGAAAGAGAACTCAAAGGTCACGTCATCTCCGAATCCAGGAGCATTGATGGGCTCTTCATGGATTTTGCTACACAGACATACAATTTTGAACCAGAACAGTTTTCCTCGGGGACAGTGCTAGCTGACCTACCTACCGCCCAAGATGGGGGGCTCCATGTGGAGCTGCACAGTGAGTGTGTGACCAGGAGACACAACAAAAGCAGCTCTGCCTTCACTTTCACTTGCAACAAATTCTTCAGGCGGGATGAATTCCCCCTACATTTTAAGAATGTCCACACAGACATTCAGTCATGTCTCAATGGCTGGTTCCAACATCGATGCCCGCTTGCCTACTTGGGATGTACATTTATTCAAAACCATTTCCGTCCCCCAGGGCAAAAGGCAAAGCTGATCTACAGTCAAGAGCTCCAGAGCTTTGCCATCAAGCCAGAGGTTGCTTCAGAGCTCAGTGAGGGAAGGAAGAGCAACCATCTCTCAGGCCCTGGAAGAAAAAACCAGAACTCTCTAACCAGCCTGCCCCTGGAGCTTTTGCAGTACATTGCTGGGTTCTTGGACAGCGTCAGCCTCTCCCAGCTCTCCCAGGTATCTGTGCTCATGAGGAATATCTGTGCCACTTTGTTACAAGAGAGAGGAATGGTCCTCCTCCAATGGCAGAAGAAGAAGTATTCCCATGGAGGCACTTCCTGGAGAGTCCACAGAGAGGCAAGTAAATTCATTTACTCATTCATTCATTCAACAAATATTTATTAAGAACCTTTCATGTGCCAAGCACTGTTCTAGGACCTGGGATTGTACTAGGTTGCTAGGGATAGACATAGTCTCTGAACTCAAACAGGCCAGTCTACAAATGTATAAACAACAATACAGACAGTGGCGGTGGTTGTTCTCTATCTGTGTACACTGAATATTTTCTGTTTGCTCCCATGAACTATTTCCCCAACCTCTCTGCCTGGATCTGTCCCCTTGGAGTCTCAGTGTCAGTTGGTTCCTTTGACCTCCAGCTTCTAGTTGAGTTAATCTAGTGGAAGTGTATCAGAGAGAAGAAAGGGTAATAATTTCCCCTCCAGGAGATGGGAGGGAGGGAGGGAGAAAGAAATATCAAAATGGAAAGAAATATAACACTGAAGTATTTATTCTTCTGACTTCTTCCCTGCATGCATTCTCCACACCACTCTGGCTGTGACCCTCTCCTGAGGGCTGTATCAGCTGGTTGTCTCTACACAATTACTACTTCTGGGTTCTCCTTCCCATTCAGGCATATGGAAGGAACCCTCTATAGATTGTTACCAACTCCAAATGCTGCACTGTACCTTGTGGCTTTCCTATACACCGCACATGTTTAAATCATTCCTTTTAAAATTCTCTTCAGATTACCCAATTTGATCAGCCCTTTGCTTCCTTCCCAGACTCTGATACAGTATGCCCACAAATGTTCCTCAGCCCCATGTCTGAATTTTTTTTAAAAACAGATTTTGCCTTTGTTAAATGCACATTGGCATGGGGCCTCCCTGGCAGCACAGGGGCTAAAGACAGCGCTGTGAGGCTCTCACTGACCACTGCAGCCTGAGTTCCATCCCCTGCCAACCAGGGAGCAGCCCACATGGTGCAGCAGACCTCTCAGCTGTGTGTTTCAGGCAGTCCACCTGTTCTGCTCCCCACTCTGTCTCTGGTGAATTCTCTTACTCCCCGTGCCTCTGGCCTACACCCCAGTTCTTGTAGGAATAAATAAATAAATCTTTAAAAAAATATAAAAAAACAAAGACACCTTGGCATACTTAACTAATTTGATCCACTGAGTTCCAACGCTCCAAATACCTATTTTTTTTTTAAACAAAATTCTCCCATATAAATCAAAGAATCTCTCCATTCAAAAGTCTTTGTTCCTTTTTCCTAATCAGGTATGCTTGCTCAAATGTGTTATAACTTGTCTCAGCTTGTACCGTACAGAAATGAGACTCATAATTCACTGTGTCCATGGTGCCCTTAGCATCCTTTCCCAAGGTAAAGATGTTGGTGACACGAACCGTATGTTTACAATGCCCATTTAGATGAATAATTCCATAATCTCCCTGTTGAGTTTCTTCCGAGTATCTGGGTGTGTGCAAACTGTCATTGGAAATTAGAGTTGTTTGCGTCTATTTTTATTGATTATATCTAAAACATTTTATATATTTTCCATTAGTTAGTCCCTGAGCAGTCTTTTTCAAAAAATAATCCTGACACTCTCTTTCATGTATCCATGCCTTTATCCATGTGTTAATACCACCAACGAACACATGTTCAAGTTAAACATAAGTTAAACTAAGACCCAGCTCTTAAGAATCATATAATCTAGAACTGCATAATATCCTCCTCTGTAAAATTAGAGGCAAATGATTAATGGAAATACTAGAAACTCTATTATTTTTTGGTTCAAGGTCATCCCCAATTAAATGGTTGCTGGTCACACTTGACTGTCATTTGGAACAAATTAATTTCCTTGCAGAGTAAGACAATTTAGCTAAGGTTAAAGGACACTCATATTAAAATGGCTTTTTAAAATGAAAGAGAAAATAGTTCTAAGATCTCAGGAAATACTTTTCTTACATAAGAATGGTGACAAAAACTGAGGATGAAGTGATGTGATTGAAGGGCTCAGATTATGCCTATCCTCTAACCAAGTTTCATAACTAAAGACTTTGCTACCATATTCTTGATGGGAAGTTGAAAGGGTGCTTGAGTACCAGAATACTGGATTTTTCCTGTGGTGTTTCATTCTAGTGAAACTCTTACTAATTAAGATGATTTTTAGTTTTAAGAAGTAGAAAATCAACTTAAAGTGGCATAAACAATAAAGGGAATTAATTTGCCCTTATAACTAAAAATCCAAAGAAAATGGCTTCAGGTAAGTCTTGATTTAGCAGGTCAAGAAAACGTCCCCACTGACGTTTTTTCTCTCTATTCTTATCTCTACTTCCTCAATAGTGGTTCCATTCTTTTTTTTTTTTTTTTTAAAAAAGATTTATTTATTTATTTATTTATACAAGCACTGGGTACAGTCAGAAGCACGGGAGGGTGAGAGAATTCACCAGAGCCAAGGCGGGGAACAGAACAGGCAGACTGATGAAACACACTGCTGAGGGGAGCAGCGGGGCACAGCAGGAGAGGTCTGCGCACCATGTGGGACCCTCACCCGGCGCGGGGATCTAACCGGCATTGCAGAGGCTGCGGGCAGCTTTGCAACCCAGTGCTCAACCGCTGCGCCACCGGGGAGGCCCAGTGACTCCATTCTAAGACAGTTGTCCCTTGGTGGTCCCTGGTGCCTACCAGTAGCTCCCAAGACTGCAACTTCCCAGTTCAAGTGGTCAAGCACTTGGGGAAAAAGAGGACCTGCTTCTAGATGTCTCAAACAGAAGTTCTACATTAGAGTCTCATTGCCACTGATTACCCTGCTTAGAATCATATATCTATTCTAGAACTAATCCCTGTTACTGCGTGGGAGGAGGGGACAGGAGGAAGGATGTATGTCAGTTTTCAGATTGGTCCTAGTCATTCCCACATAATTACATGACTGTCTTAGAAGATTTCCATTTGGGAGGGGGAAGTACGAATCCATGTTGAAACATGGAAACAACAAATGCCTGCAGCAGCCACTAACACTCTCTGAAGTTAGGAACAGGAAGGTGAACAGAAAGGCATTTCCTTATACCTTTCAAATAAAGGCAGCCTGAGGGTATTGCCCCAAAATTCACTTTTGAGCTTTTATTTTTCCCAACAGATCTGGCAGTTCAGCAGCCTCTTCTCCAAAGTCAAGAGCTGGGAGTTTAACGAAGTCGCCTCCATGTCTGAGCACCTGAAAACCTGTCCTTTCAATGTGGTAGAGCACAAGACTGAACCGGTTCTTTTGACCAGCATGTGTCAACCCCGTGAGCAGTCCCGAGAGAGCTTAGTAGCCACATTTCGGGCCAGACCTCAACGAAAACACCCCTTCTGAACACTCAGAGCCACCATTCTTGGATTCCCCTGCAGAGTTACTGAAAGCAGGATTTTGAGGACTTCTCTCTGTATGCTGCGTGTGCTTGCCTGGGTGTGCTGGAATATGCAATGTTCTGTAAACCTGAGCAATCTAACCAGTCTATCCCATGGCTTGTATAATTGCTTAGTGCCATATTGATGATTTCTTTGCTTTTTTGTCTTTTGTTTTCTAAAGTAAATTAGCCTGAGGAGAAAATAGGTAACTTGAGGCCATTTGGGAGATGAACAAGGCCTTAGGGGATCAGAGAGCAACAAAAACAATGACCAGCACTAGCCTGTGCTTTTTGTGAAGAGCTCTTTAGTTTTTACAAAGCACCTTTCAAAATTGTGGGACAGACAATGCAGGGACAGGGACTGAGGTGCCTCCCAGAGCACCCAAGATGAAGGGTACGCAGTGTGTTCAGGACCTGGGGTTGTCTTGACAGTCAAGTCTGGGGCTTCTTTTAGTTACCCTACTACTTCTGAACCCAGACAGTACCAACTTCATCCGACAAATTGGAGACATTTACTAGTCACAGAAGCCTCGAGGACACCACTGGCCAAAGGATGAGAAGGCTAAAATGAGGTCACAGAGTGTGATATGTAGAATCATGCCACACAGAGAAAAAAAGACCTTGAAAAATAGAGTCCAAAGGAGACAATATATTTACAGGAAAATATAGGACAAACGGCTTCACTTAAACATCTTAATAATGGCCTAAGAATCAAAGTTCTTTTCTTCTAAAATTATAATCTAGATCTAGATGAGGGGCAGCATATACATAGTCCAGCACCGCCCTATACTATCCGAAGTAACCTCAAGGCTTAAAACCAACTTCAGTGTCATGCTAGAATATTCAGGATAGCCAAGGACTAGACATTTGGAAAATCTCAAACAAGGCCAACACCAGTTCTTGTGGCACCAGTCACCAGGTCCTGGACACCATTACCCATGGGGGACCTTGGGATGGAAGACATGAGAGCATAGCAGTTCTGTTACAGAGTAATTTCCTTTAAAAGGGGGCGGTTTCATGTTCCCTGGCCCACTAATGAAGGGTGGGGCTGAGCAGAGAAAGACTTAGAGAAAGAGACTTAGAGGAGGCAGAGACAAGTGAAGAAGGTGCATTTGCTTCTCGGATCTGGGGGACGTGGAGGGAGACATGTGGAGTTGAGAGACTTGCAGAGACTCTTGGAAGAAATGAGAGACCTGGGTGGAGGCTGACAATGGCAGCCACTGGCTTGATTTGTATTCTAATTTTGCTCACTTTGTCCCAAAGTTGTCTGGCCCCATCAGCCCTTTTCCTGTGGTTCCAGCTAGAAGGTGCCTTACACCTTTGACAAGTTTTGAGGCCTCAGTAGCTTCACATTGGGCCCACCCTGTTTGGCTGAGCATTTACCCACAAGGGGACAGGTAACTTGGTATGTTTTATGAGAAAACTACTACCCTTTCTTCTCTCTCTATGCACACTATCCTATTAAAGTTCTTTCACATAAGAGTGTGCTTTGTCTTTATGTGGCAGGTGGCAGAAGCTGTGTAAAGCATGTGTAAAGAGTGTGCAGGTTTGGGGATCCCAGGGCACCCCTCAGTCTGCAATCTAACAGTTCCTTATAATTGCTCCAATCTATTATTGGTCAAGACTTCAGCCTATCAAAAATGGGTGATACTGCTGGGTTTTGGTTAGAGTGAGTTCTCTTAAGAACAAAGTAAAAGAAAATATACACAATAGAAACATCCATAAAGCAGGGTTTCTTGGAACTATCAACATTCTGAACTGGATATCTCTTTGTGATAAGGGATTGTCCTGTACATTATATGATAAGCAGCATCCTTAACCTCAATCCAATAGATGCTAGCAGCACCCCCACAGATGTAACAACCAAAATGTCTCCAGACATTGTCAAATATCCTCTAGGAGCAAAAGTCACTCCTGGTTGAAAACTGTTGCCCTAAAGTTGACATACCAGTAGGAGTAAGTATTGCTACTCTTTTTAGTATTGCAAAATATTATCTTGCCTAGTTATCTACAATATTTAGGATTTCACACAGTTCTTTATTTATTAAGTAGATTTTAGACATGGTAAAGAAAAAGTGAAGAGCAAGGTGGAACTGGGAGATGTAACAGGAAAACCATTGTAAAAAGTCTGACCTATGTGTGCTATCAAATCAAGTTGAAGAATTAGATTGTGTGTCTATGGACTGACTTACCTCTATAGGATGGAAATTCCAATATCTCTATAGGTAGAAATGAAAGCTGCTTTGCACTCTGAAAGGTTAATAGGGTGAATATTATAAGTTAGGTCCTACAGAAAGATTAGTGATTTCCTGGCAAAGAAATCGTCGTTGAAAAAGAGCAATGTGTGTCCTGAAAAACCAGGAATAAGCCTGAGGGATGCATGCTCTAGGTACATGGGCAGCTCACAAAAGTTGTGAAGTCCTAAGCAAGCATAGATCTGTCACTAATCTCAGCTCCTCTTTGATTACATTGCCTTCCTCATCTTTGAAAACCTGACCCTGTCCTACCAACCAAAGATCCCCTACACCAAAACTTTACTTTTGTTTTGATTTTTCCTAGGATCTCCTATCTCTGGCATTGCTGGGTGTGATTGTCTGGGGCTGGGGTGAAAACCATCATGCCCTGGTCTCTTATTCTCCATCATCCCCATACTTTGTTTGGTGATTTGTTTTTTGCCCATCACTGGTTATCCAATTTCCCTCACCTCAGCCTTGGCCCTGTACCACACAGAAGTTACATGAGCTTCCTCCATCTCCCCTCTTTTTTCTTTTTAAAGATTTATTTATTTATTCATACAAGAACTGGGGTACAGGCCAGAGGTGGGGGGGTGGTGGTGAGAGGATTCACCAGAGACAGAGCAGGGAACAGAACAGACAGATTGACTGAAATACACTGCTGAGGGGAGCAGCGGGTGAGTCAGGAGAGGTCTGCTGCGCCATGTGGGTAGCTCCCTGGCCAGGCACCGAACTCATGCTGCAGTGGCTGTGGATAACTTCATAGGTAGCGTCTTAACCCCTTGTGCCACCAGGGAGGCCCCATCTCCCCTCTTACATGACCATTGATTTTGGCCATTCATAAGGAAGACTGGACTTTCTTAAAAAGGCCTACTCTGAGTCTAATTCCTCTTAACGCTTGGAGCCTGTATTCCCTTAGCTTTAGTCTTTTTTACTGGAAAAAAATTCTCTTTCTTCCTGCCTCTCCCCTAATTTATACTTCAAGAATCATTATGTCTTTAAAGAGTATAGTCATTACTCCCAGGAAGATGACAGGCTTCTCACAACTGTTGAAGCCCTTCGAGGCTGACCTGCCTTAATTAGGACACTACCTAGCCTCCCGTTACTCTGTCTCACCACGAGTGCTCAGGCTGATCTGTTTTGGACAAGGTAAACCCTAAGAAAAAGACCCAGCCCTTGACATCAGGGGGTGTGGGGGATGGGCATTGGTAGGATCAGGTCTTCTGGATATGCCTGAAGGAGGGAAGGAGAATTGGAATCTTGAGAGTGATGGCTATTTTGGGCTGCACAAAAATACTATTTACCTCAGCACAGAGATGAACTATCATACCACTTTATTTCCAGTTTTACGATTGAACAGAGAGAGGATTCATAGATATTTCTTCATGGATGAAAGTTTGCAAACAACACAACCAGACAAAACAGGCAATCTAGGTATACTTTCCCAGGTAAACAAACAGGGAATATCAGAGCTCATAAACAGAGGAAGTTATTAGAGAAAGAATTCATGGGGAAAGAGGAAAGACCACCAAATAAACATCCATGGGCCATCCAGGGCAGAAAGGACACTGACACTGAGGAAGACCCCCCCACCCCCCGACCTTATGCTGTCTCTGTCCTAAGTCCTAATGGGCAGAAACATGTCTAGAAGCTCAGACAACTTATGACCTACTAGACTTTTGCAGCAGAAATGAAGAGGTGTGGAGGCAGAGTCACCATAGGATGTCATGGTACAGAAGACAGGGAGGGTCCATTATTGAAGGAGATTGACGTAATTTGCAGGGAAGAGTCCATACTGGCCACGGCAACGACCCCGCCACCAGCCCTCATCCACCATCTCAATGTCAGTGATGATGTCTTCTGGATCAAAGGAAATCTCATCGCTTCCCTCTGGGGAGGAAATTAACAGGATATTAGGGTGGTCTGATGGGTCCTGTACCCACTCTAGCCTCCAGTGAGGCAAGTATAGCTGTTCTTGTTGCTAGCAAGACTGGGTGCTTCTTGTCCCACAGAAGTCATCCCCCTCTCTTGTATCCAGGATCTTTAGGTACCAGACCCCTCAGGCCATTTGCAACCTACCTCCTTGGTAATCATACAGGGCTACAGCTGAGATTCCAGCCCCAGCCTGAGCTGGGCAACCTGATGATCCTGCATAATGAGAAATATAATCATGGTCTTACCAACACAGAGAAGGAGCTCAGACAAGTACTTCTGGGTAATAGAGGAATTCTCCTTCCACTACCTCCCCCTAGACCTCCATATCCAAAAGTTGCTTCTCCACACACCACTCACCAGCGGAGGGAAGAGAGGACTCAGGCTCCAGCACATCCTCATAGTCTCCCTCTTGTCCATCATCCTGCTCATGTGTGTCCACCTGCCCAACATCTTCATAGTCATTTTCAGGCTCAGGCGCTGCTTCATACACTGGCTCAGGCTGAGGCTCAGGCACTGCTTCATACTCTGGCTCTTCGCTCAGCTGAAAGCCTTCTGGAGTCCTGGGGGGCAGAGCTGGGGGCTCCTCATTGTCCTGAGAAGAGACAGCGTGGAGCAGGATGACTTCCACTCACAAGGAAATTCTTGTTCAAACCTCCCAAAGGAGTCTTGCCCAGACCCGACTCTTCCCCATCCTACCACTACTACCTTCCAGCCTTGCTTCCACTTAATAGCCTTCCCTAGAGAGCACAACCCTTCATCCCTCTTCTTTCTTCATTCTCCTCCCACATCTACCCACTCAAGATCAAGAGATGATATGGAGGCATCTGTAAAAGGTGTGAGGAGAAGGAAGTAGAAAGCAAATAGGAGTCTTTGGCAGATCAGGACAATACCGAAGCAAAAGCACATTGTCGGGAGAACTACAGCTAGAATGACCAACCGTCCTAGTCTGCCCAGGATTGGGAGGTAAGAATGCAGAGTTTTCGGAGCTAAGATCATGTTAATCTCAGACAAGCAAGGATGGTTTCTTAGGACACAAGGATATGAGGAAGGGGCAAAGAATCTTTGTGGCTCTGTTTACCTCTGACTGATACTGCCTCGAGGGCAGGGTGGACACTGGAGGTTCCTTGCTGATTTTCTCAGGCTCTGGCTCTGACGATGGATGATTCCCTGCTGGAGGCCAGGCCTGTGAAGAAGGAAGCATCTCTCCAGTAAGCAAAAAAGCTTTCATCTTCTCTCTTATACTGACCTGACACACCCCTCCTATCTCTGTCAATCCAAATGAAATCCATCTCTCAAGATGGGCTCCCACCTGAAATGATAGCTCCCTTTTCTCAGTTCCTTCCCCATGTGTTGGCTGCACTGGTTAGTGATCTCTTTTCTGTTGAACTGTGAAAATTTTGACTTTCCCCTAACATTCCGGCAGACATGAGACCCAATTACAGAGGCTGAAATCTCCCTGAAGATAGATGACAGCAGTCACAGTCTTTGCCTAGCACAGGGGAGGCCTTTGCCTTATTTTCTACCAATGTTTTAAACCCCTTAATCTCCTGGGTAAGGAATCCTGGATGTGGACCTTAGAGGGCTAAGCACTCACCTCTGAGGAGATCTTCTTGGGCAAAGGGGCTGGCACCACTGGCTCTTCCACAGGGGCCGCTGATTGCTGAGCCTCTTGACTCCTCTTGACCAAAGCCTTTCTCTCCTGTTGCTGCCTGGCCATCTGCTGTGATTTCTCTACTTCCTCCTGCTTCTTCTTCTCCTCAGCCATGGACTCAAATTTTGCCTTCAGCCCACGTGCACCACTAGAAGCTGCAGTCACAGACAAGAAGAATTAGGGTTGTTTTGGGTCAGAAGTATGCTTTGGGGGAGGTGGGGTGAGGTGAGTGCTTGAAGAAAGAAGAGGAACCATTTAAATATCCAGGAAGAATGGATAGAGAGGGTATTCATGAGAAGAAAAACACAGAGGTTTTGATGGAGGAACAAGGGAATTATAAGAGGATCGTAACCCTAAAGCCTTGATTTCCATATAGCCAAGCCAAGCAATCTCAGATTCTTGTCTTTTCTATTGATAAGCCTGGGTCCCCTGACTAGCATCCTTCCTTGTTTTGAAGTCTATATGCCCTTCCTCTGACCACCACCCACACCCTGCCACTATCCCAAGCTCTTATCCCTATGTATTCTTCCCAATAGTGCCCCATCCTGCCCTCCTTGTGCTTTCTTGCTACTGGTTTCTTCCCTAAAGTCAATCTACCTCTCCAGCCACTAAACCTAGTTTTTCTAGGAGGTAGAGACTGCTATGTAAGGGTAAGGATCCAGTCTACCTTGGCTAATCTAGATAGCTAAAGGTATGGAGGAGGTAGTCTGGAGAGAAGAAGGAATAAGAAGGAAGAGAGGGCTGAAGAGAAGGAATTGTTAAGACTTACCAGCCTCTACGGGTGTTGTTTTCTTATAAGCTGTGGTTGGAGCCTCCATTTCATTGAAACCAACAGCGCTCTGTGGGTAGAACAGCATGCATAGTGGGAGTGGGGATGGGGGAATAGCAGTGACCCAGAGAGCAGATTGGGGACTGGGGCCCAATGGTTGGACAGGGTATTTCAATATTTTTGTTTTGTGGCAGAGGGTAAAGAAGCTCTAAACTGATAGGATCACTTCCTCTGTTTGAAACCTCAAAGTATCTAGAACCTCACATCTCCAATCCCATTGCCCAGAATGCAACAAGATCTCTAGCTAGTGCATGAAGAGGAACTAGTGTAGGGTAGGACAGTGACATAGAAAGGGGAGAGATATTGGTCTATTTGGTAATACCAAACAATCAATGAAATTTCAAACACCACCTTTCCCTGGAGTCAGCCTCTCCCCTCCCCACCTTCTTCCCTCCACTCTCCTTAGCTAATGCTCAGGCTTCAGAAGACATGCCCATTAGATGCAGAAGGCAGTCAGTGGGGAGTTCAGTACATCAGGGGTCCTGGCTCTTCCCACCCTTTTCCAGCTTTGCATCTAGTTCTTCCCTGAGCACTTCGAGTGCAGTCTAAGGCAACTATTCTCAGGATATTGGTGCTTTACCTTATCTACTCGGTCCTTTTGGATTCCATACTGACCACCAAAGCCCTTGGAATAATCTGTAGGATGGAAAGATATGAGAGTAATAAAGGAGTTAAAATACTAAAAATGTATGGGATGAGGGAGCCATGGCAAGAAATACCAGAAGACAGGGATGTGGGAAACAAAGAGATGGATGAAGGAGCGTGAGGATGAAGAGGGGATGAAGAGAGGCTAGCATGGGAAGAGAAGGAAAAGGGTGGAGACAGGGAAAGTTGGAAGACGATGGAAGGGAGAAAAATAAGAAAAGGGAAACAGAAAAGAGAGGAGTTAGCAAAGGAGGAAATTATAGGAAGAAACAGAAGTCAAGGAAAGACCCCAACCACCCACTATGTGTCCCAGGGAGTAAAAGGGGCCTCTCTGTCCTCTGTGAGACACAGGGGCGCCAGGACTCTTACCAAGTCACGGTCTTGCCAGTCCCCAGCCCGTCAGTCTACACTCTCTCAATGACTACTTTTCTTTGGCCTCCCTTCTGTTCTCTGTTCTGTCTCTGTCTCTGTCCTGCTCCTAATTTTGCTGTCCTCCATTCCACCCACTTGATCTTACACCCTGCACCCTCACATTCATACAATGACTTTTTATCCTACAAGTGTCGTGGTATTATTACTAAATTGAAAAACTAAGGCCCCATTCCTTGCCCAGCAAGTAAGTTTCGGGGGCTTGAATGGGTAAGTGAGCGTATGGGACTGCCAGGACATTAAACTGAGGATCCGTTATGGTAATTCAGACGATCAGTCAGGATACACCCAAGACTAGTCACCCTAACCAATCAATGATGCCTGGAGTATGCATAGAGCCTCAGGACCCTCTGCACAGCAGACCTCTCCTGCCTTGCTTGCCCCTTTTAGCAATGTATTTCAATAAATCTGCCTTTTCTGTTCTCCATTCTGTCTCTGGTGAAGTCTTTCACTCTGTGCCTTCCCCTTCCTGCTTCCAACTTACACCCAATTTCCCTTCATGATAGTCACTACCACAGTACATCTGTCTTTTTGTATCTTGGATCTCTTGTTTTCAGTTTCCAGAAAGGAAAGGAGAGCTCCATGTAATTTTATGCCCTCCCTCCGCTTGTACCCCAACTCACCTCTCTGGGACTCGTGTTTCTCTGTCTCTCCCTTATAGTCATATCCCAGAGCTGCCTTGTCCCGTTTATCCTTCTCTATTCCATAACGGCCACCAAAGCCATGGGAATAGTCTATGGTGGAAGAAGCAAGCGTTAGAACTCAAAAGTACTACTGAAGAGAGATGTCAGGAGGAACAGGTACAGGATAATAGGGGTCTGGGAAGACAGCAGGACTCCAGTATGGATGGATGACAGAGAAATTATATCTTAAGACATCTTTTACAAGTTTGAATTCAACCTTGTTTACTCCTTTACTTCTATGCCAAGATAAGATTATGTCAATTTTCTCTCTTTTTCCAGGAAGAAGAAAGTATAGAGTATAAGGAGAGCGGAAGAAGCAGATACATATAAAACAAATGCCTTCCCTATTCCTATATATTTAGAAACGCTAGCTAAAATATAGCAATCTTTTAAAAATAGTGATCCTCAAAAGAAAAAAAATTCCTGACTTTAGAAACAAATAGATGAATCAAAATAGCAGAGATGAGGGTATGAAAAAACAAGACAGAGTAACAAATGATGATTAGACCACTACAAAAGAGATGCCAGACACAATGAAATAATATCTTCAAAATAATGGATAAATAATAATGAAGAACAGAGCAAAATAAAGACCTTTTTTTCCCAGATAAAATATCAGTGTTCTTTCATAGGTTCTTACTGAAAAAATCATCGAAGTATATATACTTTAGAAAGAGGAAATAAAAGAAGCAAGGAGAAACAATGAAGTTCAATAAACAATCAGTTTGGAATTTGGTAAATTTGTTGGTGAATTTAAGTAAGCATTCACTAATAATAATAATGAAAAATCTTATGGGGTTTAAAAACACAGATAGCCAATTTCTTGGATAATAATTGTCCAGTTGCTACAAAGACTGTAGAATGAAGAAGGAATGTAATTATTCCCTTATTACCAAGGAACAGGTAGATTACTTTTAAATTTAAGTCAAAAATGCATGTTAGAACTTAAGGAGAGATGCCTAAAACACAGAAGTAGAATTGCTTATTTCGCCTAGAGGGAAGAGGGGACTAAAGAATACTTAATCTTACCAAAAAGCGATAAAGGTGAAAGAAAGATGCAAGCACATATTTGGATTTAAAAATTAAAAAAACAAAACAGTGGAGAACTGGCTTGGAGAACTAAGTTGGGCGGGGAGCTGATCACAGCTGTTGGGAAGTAAAGTTTGAGCAAAAAAGCAGGTCAGGGTGCTATGGCCAGAGTGCAGAGTCCTTGCCTTTTTGAGATGCGTGTTTCTCCACTTCTCCTTTGTAATCAAAGCCAACTGCTGACTACAGAGAAAAGAAGAGAGAATTGGTTAGAGTCAGTACTGTCATTTTTTTCTGCTCCCTCACTTCATTTCCTCCCAGTTCAGCCAGAGGTTAATGTTTAGGGGTTCAGGGTTCAGGATGGTGCAGAGGTAATGTGCAACAGACCAGTGAGTGTGGACTCTGGACACACATAACTCTAGACTCGCCAATTCGCCTGCTCTGCTTGTAGTGGTTTAACTCTAGGCATGTCCCTAATACTCTGAACCATAGCCTCTTCAAAAATAGGAGAAATGACCACTCTTTATTTGGGATATTGTGTGAACTAAACAGGGCAAAGAATATAAAGTGTCTGTACTGGTCTGTAAAGGGTCACGCAGAAAATTAGCATCTTTCTTCCTAACTCACATGAAACTAAAATGGGGTAATCGCTAGAAGTGTCTTGTGAACAACAAAGCACTATGTACATGTAAGAGAGTGTCCTATTTCTAGTTGCTTATACTGTGCCTTTTCTCTTTCCTTATGCAACAGTGGAAACCAAGAGGGGTAATTTTGGTGGGCTGAGATGAGCCAGAGAGTCTGGCCCTGGGGGCAGACATTTTGGTGAATGCCTGACATCACACATCTCAGTAACTTGGGATATCTAAGCAAGTCTAGATTCTGCACCAGAAGAGTTACTAGTAAGTATTGTTTCTTGGTTTAACTTGATATAATAAGTGTTTAGGTGATTCAGTTTATGACTTACGAGGCAGAAGATGAAATAAAGCACCATGGAAGTTTAGGCAAATGTAGGAGGGGAGCTATGACAGAAGGGATGTTCCATACTGATCAGTGAGTGTTGCTAAGTCCCACATAATTTGAGGTGGTCTGTGTCAGGAGGGAGTTGGTACTTACCTTGTCTGCCCTGTCCTTCTCAACTCCATATTTGCCCCCAAAACCTCTGGCAGCATCAGTCTGAGAAGAGTGCTTTTCCACCTCAGCAACATACTCATGGCCCACAGCGCTCTGAGAAAAATCCAGGGCAGAATGAACAAGAGAAAAATGGCCATTAAAAAAGAGAATCATAAGGCCTCCCCAGTGGCGTAGCTGGTTGAGCGCAGTGCAGTGCTGTGAAGTTTTCCGCAGCCTCTGCAGTACAGGTTTGATTCCTGGCAGGCCAAGGAGAAACCCACATGGCGCAGCAGACCTCTCCTGTCTCGCCCGCTGCTACCCTCAGCAGTGTCTTAGTCCGTCTGCCTGTTCTGCTCCCAGCTCTGTCTCTAGTGAATTCTCTCACCCTCCAGTGCCTCTGGCCTGTGCCCCAATTCTTGCATAAATAAATAAATGTTTTAAAAAAGAGAGAGAGAACTATAAAGAGAGGCAATGGAATAGAAGAATACCAGGGATTTCACTGTGGGTTAAGCCCATAGTCTCTGATGGTGCCCAGGGATGTCTATGGGATGGGAGAGCAAAGTGACTTTTTGTGGAGCTTTGCATATCCTGATTTAATACCATTGGGATTCATCTTTCTGGAAACTCTTATACGATGGGCTGAGAACTAGTCTTACAAGAGGCCAGTCTTCCTAAACCCTTGACTTACATTTTCCGCCATTTATACTTTATATGTTACAATCAGGAAAAAATGGACATTGACAATATGTGGACACTATATTTTAGAGCCCAAAGAATTATTGTACCTTCAAGAAATTTTTAAACCATAAAAACCAACAAGTGAATCAATTTGCCTTTTTTTTTTTAGAAGTGAAGTACAGGGTCATGGTGGGGGTGTGAGAAGATTCACCAGAGAGAGTGGGGAGCAGAACAGGCAGATCTACTGAAATGCACTGCTGAGGGGAGCAGTGGATGAGACAGAAGAGGTCTACCATTCCATGTGGGTTGCTCCTAGTCTGGCTTGCCAGGGATTGAACTCGTGCCACAAAAAGGCCACGCTCAACCCCCTGTGCCACAGGAAGCCTCCTCAATTTGCCTTTTTTGGGGGGTGGGGGGTAAAATTCTGCCTTTCAGCTCACCTTATCCATTCGGTCTCTTTCCACCCCAAATCGACCTCCATAGCCATGAGATGCTTTGGGCCCTGATTCCATCTCCTTCTTCTTGAGCACATCATGCTCCTCTGACACTTTGCTCCTCAGTTGGTGGATGCTGAAAGTAACAAAACCACAGAGACTTGTCTGGCTCAGGGAGTCAGTGAACACTACTTCCCAGAAAAATGGGAATCTTGAAGTATATTTTATTTATTTTGAGCTGAGCCCTAAAAATATGAGTGCTAGATTGGAGGAAGAGATTAGCGTGTCGTGCATATAACGCCCAATTTAAACTCTCCATAAGTCAAAATTATTTCCTTTATTTTATTTTTTTTTAAGACTTATTTATTTATTTATTTATACAAGCACTGGGTACAGTCAGAAGCGCGGGAGGGTGAGAGAATTCACCAGAGCCAGGAGGGAGAGCAGAGCAGGCAGACTGACGAAGTATACTGCTGAGGGGAGCAGCGGGCGGCAGGAGAGGTCTGTGCGCCATGTGGGACCCTCGCCCCTGGCCAGGGATTGAACCGGTGCTGCAGAGGTTGTGGGCAGCTTCACAGTCCAGCGCTCAACCGTTGAGCCACCGGGGAGGCCCAAAATTATTTCCTTTAGTCTGTTATTTTGCTCACTAATTAAACTTCTGATAGTTAGTCTCATTTTTTCATGTTCCTAAATAGTAAAGAATAATCATATCAATATTCTAGTATCTGAGAAGGTATTGTCTTCTCTGAATGGACTTACTTTCTAGTAATTCAATAATCTATCTATCTCAAGTTCAAAAATATTCATGTACCCTTTTGCTAACACATTCTAGTCTGGGAATCTACCCCAAATAAATATTTTTTTTATTAGGGAATACATTTCATTTTCTTATAAAATAGATTTGGGGAAAGTAACATTTCTTTCTTTTTTTAAATTCCACTTTATTTTATTTAATTGCTTATTTATTTTCCTAATTTTTTTTTATTGCAGTAACATTGGTTTACAAGATTGAAAATGTTTTAGGAGTATAGGGTCATCCCTCTTTGAGTGTATGTTATCATACCACATCTACCACTAAAGCACCCAAATTCTCCACCATAGACCACTGGGTCTCTTTTCCTTTGCTCTCACCTTTCTTCCCTTCTGGTAGCCTTAATTCCACAGTTAGATTCCAAGGGTTTGTTTTGGTTTGGTTTTATCAGTTTCCAAGGAAATAATTTTAATTATGGAAGAGCTCAATATCTAATGAGATTCACTGCTACATTGTATACAAGCAAGAATGAAGAAACAGTCATAGGAACAACATTGAAGTTAAATAAATGACAATATCTTTCAATGACATACTAAGAAGTCATCAACAGAAATGGATATAAAAACTACTTACCATTACAATATTTTGTATATTTTCTTGTAAAAAAAGTGAATGCTCTTCATCCCACCTCCAAATCTGATCATTTTTAAGAAAACTAAGAACTAGTAAAGGCTAGCTAATAAAATTTCCTCATCATTAATTGTGGTAATACTTTAAGACTCAGAAAATCTTGTTTTGGGACATCTCTATCCCTAAGCAAATGTAATACCCAATAAGAAAAACATTCTTTTTTTTTTTTTTTTTAAAGATTTATTTATTTATTTATTTATTTATTTATTTATTTATTTATTTATTTATACAAGCACTGGGTACAGTCAGAAGCATGGGAGGGTAAGAGAATTCACCAGAGCCAGAGTGGAGAAGAGAACAGGCAGACTGATGAGGTACACTGCTGAGGGGAGCAGCGGGCGGCAACTGGCGCTGCAGAGGCTGCGGCAGCTTTGCAACCCAGCGCTCAACCGCTGTTCCACTGGGGAGGCCCAACATTCTGTTTCTTATTGCAGTTTATCATGAGACTAGAGAGCAGCTCTGCCTATCTATTTGGCCTGAGGATATGAAGCTGTGAAAATCAGCACTGATACTTGGACATATACAAGGAATCCAAGGGATTCTTAGAAACATTTGAGCAACAGAATCCTAAATAAAAAAAACAAAAACAAAAACACATAGGCCCTTGAAAAAATGCTCAATACCACTTATTATAGGGAAATGCAAATCAAAACCGCAGTAAGACATCAGCTTCCCATCACTATGTACACACACAGTGGCATAGCTGTGAGAATGATCATATCGAAGAAACCAGAAACAACAAATATTAGCAAGGATTTGGAGAAAAAGGAACACTTATCCACTGTTGGGAATGTAATCTGGTGTAGCCTCTATGGAAAATGGAATGAAGGTTCCTTTAAAAAGTAAAAATGGGGCCTCCCTGTTGGTGCAAGGGGTGAAGATGCAACCTATGAAGCTATCAGCAGCCATGGCAGCAGGAATTCGATCCCCAGCCAGGGAGCAACCCACTTGGCGCAGCAGACCTCTCCTGGCTCACCTGCTGCTCCCCTCAGCAGTGTATTTCAGTCCATCTGCCTGTTCTATTGCCCACTCTGTTTCTGGTGAATCCTCTCACTCTCCACACCTCTGGCCTGTACCTCAGCTCTTGTATGCATGAATAAATAAATCTTTAAAAAAAAAGTAAAAATGAAAATACTATATGATCCAACAATACCATTCCTAGGTATTTGCCCCCAAAACACAAAAACACTAATACAAAATGATTTATGTAAGTGTATGTTTATGGTAGCATTATTCGCAATAGCCAAATTATGGAACCAAACTAAATGTCCATTAACAGATGACTGGATAAAGAAATTGTGCAATATATATACTCAGTGGAATACTACTTGGCTATTTAAAAAAACTGAAATAATGTTTTTTTGGACAAAATGAATGGATCTTGAAGTGATTGTGCTAAGTAAAATAAGTCAGAAAGTGAAAAACAATTACCAGATAATTTTACTCATTTGTGGAATATGAAAAACCAAATAAAACAAACTGGCAAAGCACAGAAAAGTAATTCTTAGACTCTGTAAAAAATATACTGATTATTTGAGGGAGGTGGGGGAGAGAAAAGGAGAAGGGTGGAAGGCGATAGGACATCAGTGCTACCGTTTTGGTGGAGGATGAGTGTGCACAAATGGAGGTGTGAAGGTGTACACCCCCCAAATTATATAGTTATATAAATGACAAATTAAAAAAATTAAGAAAAAAATAAAATGGTTAGGCTAGTTTAAGAAAAAAATAGAAATTCTTCTCTTTCATGGAAGAATAGATCCACCTGGTGGCCTTGCAGTGTAATTCCACTAAAGGTCTTCTGAAATAGCCTTCTCAACTTTAGTCACAGCTAATATTAGAAAGCTGGCTTTGGACCAGATGAAATTAAGCTAAGTGTTGGAAGAACCTTCTGTTCCTGTGCCTGCTCTAAACCCTCTGGCAACGGTGAAGGCAGAGATCCTGTGTTAGTTCAATAGCATCAGCACTTTAGAACTGCCTGTGCCAAAGAGACTACTGGTTCCAGAACATGTCTCTCTGATATTTCCCAGTCAAAGTATTCAGATGAATGTGAAGAAAACAAGGCTAAATGTTATTTTTCAAATGGGAAAAATCTGTGACATTTTAGTGAGTCTAGTGATTGCTACATGGATCTTGACTACATTACGGTTAAAACAAGATTTTCAAAGGAACTAGAAGATGAGATTTAGGAATATTGACATAGTGAGTGACAGCAAATCTTGTTAGAGGAACATACTAATACAAATAGAACTTGAATAAAAGTTTTGGCCAAAGATGACTAACTTTAAGGGTATAACTGAAGTCAGCTCTAAACGGTCTAAGTTATATCATCCCGTCATTCAATAAATATTAATTAAACTTTTAAATGTAAGAGACTTTCAGACTCTGAGGACACAGAAATGATGAATGTAGAGACTAGTGGTCAGGTGGAAGAGACAAAAAGGAAAAGAAAATTATAATTCAATGCACTAAGTGGCATATCTAAGAAACTTTTGGCACATTAATTCTTGGGCATCTGTTTAAAGCTGGAATTGAGAAAGAAATGTAATTTATGGGAACCAAGTGAAACTCAGGAACTCAAATATGAGCTAAGAGAAAGGACAGATCTTTTTGTTTTCATTACAAAAGTAAAATTATGAAGGCAAGTGAATCAAACTATAATATTTTATTCACAGACAAGATGATCATGTACGTAGAAAATCCTAAGTAATTTAGCAATCAAAATTACTTGAACTATTAAGTACATATTTGATACAAGGTCACCATATCAAACTCAATTTTATTTCTAAATATTAGCTATGGACCTTTGAAAATTGAAAATTAGAAATAAATACCACTTATAGTCACATGAAATATTTTAGCATAAATTTAACAAAAGATGTGCATGAAGTGAACATTGACAATATTTTCAGAACAAATTAAAAGACATCTAAATAAATAAAGAGATGTCCCTTATCCCATGGATTAAAAACTCAGTATCTTTAAGATCTGTCAATTCTCTCCAAAATGTTTCATAGATCCAATGCAATCCCAATCGAAATCTCAACAGGCATATTTGTAGGAATTGACCAGCTTATTCAAAAATGTGTATGGAAATGTACATTTTTATTTTTGAAAGAAAACTGTTAGAATACAACTTGATTTCATGACTTGTCATGAAACTACAAAAAATCAGTGCAGTGTGGTATGGGTTAGGGTTGATATACAGATCAATTAAATAGTCTAGAAACAGACCTACATGTATATGTTCAAAAATACCAAGTATATTAATGGGGGACATAGTCTTTTAATGATCTTGGAATAACGAAATATCCACATGGGAAAAAAACGACCCTCAGTCTTTGTCTCACACTGTATACAAAAGTTAATTTTAAGTAGATCATAGATTTAAATGTAAGACCTAAGATTATAAATTTTTTACAACAAAACAGGAGAAAAATCACAATTTTGAGATAGGTAAAAATATCTTAGACACATAAAACACTAACCATAAAAAAAATGTTGATAGGTCAGACATTGTAGGAATTCAAAACTTTGATCTTCCAAAAATGCCATTAATAAAATGAAAAAGCAAGTTACACTCTGGGAGAAATTATTTGTAAAACACATATCTCACAAAAGACTTACATCCATATATAAAGAACTTTTACAATTCAATACGTAGACAAACAACACAATTTTTTAAAAATGTGGACCCT